CATTAGCACCTCTAGTAATATATTTACTGAGAAAAATGTTGACATGTTCAATACTTACTTTACCCGCTGTATATATAAATTATTACAGTGATCTGTTAAGTAAATCTGTCTACATTCTCAGCAGCTTCTTAGAGCCTCAGGGTGTTGAGGTATTAGTGGCAGAAAACTGTCAAAACATACAACTACATAGTCTTGAGTTTAAATAGATTAATACCTGCATTGATGGAAATCTGGTAATGCGTTCAAAGGGTGTAACAATATACCAAATTTGTCTGTATCGTTATTTCAAAAGTAAAAACCACCATCGCTCCCAAGACTCGCCTCCGAGATATCTCCAGAGAAGTTGCCCACCGAGCAGGAGAAATGCGAGGGATGCATTCATCCAGAAGAGATGGCCAGCGCAGGGTGGAGCCGCGTCACAAAGGTGAGTTTTTACTGCTGAGCGTGGATCTGTATGAGGCTGCAGGTGCAGGTCTACCCCCACTGACCCTCCTTAACACATAAGTTTACCAAAATATGAAGACATTAAATCAAAGACAGATGTGTAAAATACAGCATAACTTGTGTATTTTTATTACAAATACATTGATTGATTTCCCTGATTCTTTTGGCGTTCACCTGCTCAGATGTTTATCCACGAAGTCCTTCTGAGAGACACACTGCAGAAAGAATCCAACTCATGGTGGCTGTAATTTACACCTTCCTGTCACCTGCAGACATAAACACCACCAGCTCTGTGGTTTCTGTGCCCTTCCTTCACTCTCTGCTCCAGCTGCTGGGTTCCATTAACAAAGCTTTTTATCTTGCTGTCGAGGTGTCCGTGTGGGTCAGATTTCCACAGAGGCCAGATTATAAATACCATTGTCTTTCTGGCGTTAAATTAAAATATGTAGCAACCAGAAGAAATTCACCTTAATAATTACAGGGTTCCCAAAAAAAATTACTTCAAGGCCCTGGAAAGTTTGTGAAAACGGCCAAAAATTACACTTGTCCTTGAAAGTCATTGAATGTTTTTTAGGGATTGAAATTCTCTATTCATACAACTGATTTTCATCATCTTTTAAAAAAATAAATTATAAATTTAAATAAAAAAAAAAACGTACATTTGTTGTGGTGGGTTACAGGGTTACAGTAAACTGACATCATTGTTTCTGACTCAACAACTTCTATGTTCAGTTTTTCATTTAATTTCCATGATATTAAACCTGTTTATTGGTAACACTCTGCGGTAAAAGTAGGTAATTGCCGTTACGCGTCGTTCTTTAATTTGAGGAAACTGGTACTGGAAAGTCCTTGAAAGGTCCTTGAATTTGATGTTGACCAAGGTGTGGGAACCCTGTGCCATTTGAATGAGTTGTGAAATGCTAAATGTTAAATTGTGTTTTAAATGTAAAAATGTGTTCAAACTCGAAGGTTTTTAAAGTGTATATATATTTTTTTAGATCCAGGTCAAGACAGGACCTACTCCCGCTCTGCTTCTCCTCCAGAGAACGGCTTCAAACAGCACTTGGAGACCAGACTGTACAGCAGCCAAGGAAAAGGACCCATTAAGACCGAGCGGACGCCACACCTCAGCAGTCGCCCCGCCCACGAGGTGCCTCGCTCCCACCCGAAGCTCCAACAAGTGTTGCCCAGCGGGCCCACGATGAGCAGTAGCCATCAGGGCTGGAGAGTGGACCACCACCATTCTAACGGATACGACACCGACAGCAGCCAGGACTCCAGGCATCGAAACGGAGGGAACGGCCGCAGCAGGCCCAATAATCAGTGGAGGCCCACACGGGAGGCGCTGAACGTGGACAGCGTTTTAAACAGCACCGACGCTGGAACTTCAGGAAGAGACGAACGACTGCACCACAGTCCCCGGAGGCGACCCAACAGCCAGTCGCCGACGCGGGAGCGAAACAAGGACTTCACGTGGGGAGGCCGGGAAGAACGCAAACCCAAGAGCCTGATGACCATTTACGAAGACGAGCAAAAGCAGGAAACCAGGGGCAGCCGGACCTCGCTGAACTCCGAGGGCCGTGGCAGATCCAAGAGCTCGGCAACTCTTAAAGTACGCAGTGACAACTGGAAGATCCAGAGAACAGAGTCTGGGTACGAAAGTAGCGACAGACTCAGCAACGGCTCAGCAAGTCTAGACTCTCCTGTTGTCGAGGGCCTTTCATCCAAAGACCTCCGGCCCGTACCCGAGCTGCAACCGATGAGGTAAAATAAACTCACCTGAAAGAAGCRTAACTACACAGTTTGGTGGCAGACCTAAAAATAAAACTGCCTTATCTGGCTAATTTAAAAACCTGACTCCTAAAGTGCTGTTTTAAAATAATTCAACAACCCAAACAAACAGGTCTAAGAATATCGAGACCTGTTTAACATAAGCGCACAGAAAGCAGATCCCCGAATCTTATTACGCTGGGCTGTCATTCGTCGGCATTATTGTACAGGTCCTGTTTGGAGATAATGATCCCAGCTAGCTGACAACTCCTGTACTCAGCAGAGAGAGCAGCAGATCGCTGACTCCCCAAACCACAAACACATTATCCAAGTCTGCCTATTGACAGGATATTATTCCTTATTTAAAATTTTACCAGTGCAGATAAATCATGATAGAAATAAATATATTTAGATTAAAACCTTAAGGTTTAATTTCTCCACTTTCTGCTCCAGTTACTTCCATTTTTAAATATATTTGGTTGATTTTGAGAAAAATAGAAATTGTGGCATTACATTGTGGATAAATATTGCCATTTATTGTGTTTCAGGGATAAATTCCCTCAGAGGGAAAGTGACGATCTGAGGGCTGAAGTCTTGTACTCTGCATTTTCTATTCGTAAGTATTTTTATTTAGTTTATTATTATTTTTTTGTTAATGGTTTATTTGACAGGTACAGTGCAAATATGTGAATGCAACTGCAGATACATTACCCTAAATGCTATTTTTCATCAGCATTTACTGATTCTAAAACATGTTTTTAGCACTCCATAAGGTCCATGCTACGCTAATAACATAATAACTTATTACATTATTGGCTACAGTCGATTATTTTATTGGTTCAAAACTCTTAAYGTTATTGGAAAGTTATTATGTTAATGGATTTATTACATGTAAAATTGCCAGTCTTATCACATAATCAGCAGATACCATGCTATTAACTTATTAGTTTACTGCCTGCTACAAGCCCACACCCCACAGCTCTCGACATAATCAGTTCTTTGCTCTGGTCCAGTAAAGAGTTGGTGTCTAAAGCAGGGGTTCTTAACTTTTTCAAGCTTAACTCATTGAATCTAAYTAAATGGACATGAGGCATTCAGATATTAAAATTTACTGATCAAAGTGATAACTGATCTAGATCTTGGTTTAATTTGTGTTGGATTTGCATTGTAACTAAATGAAATACACTTATAATTATATAAACATTGTCATATAAATCATAAGACATGATTATGACAAGCATTTAGTTATCTTGTAACTTTGACATACAACAAGGCAAATTAGCCATGAATTATTTGAACAATTTCAGTGCTCAGTCAGCACCGACCAAACAGGCTTATTAACAT